AGGGGAAAAATATGGCAAACACAACCAAGGAGTAAGCAGAATGTCACTTAATTTTCTTCGTTTCATTAAATCTTCGGAATTCTTGTACAGTAAATCAATTAGCTTTTCCATGATTTTGATTGAAAGGTGCTTTAATTAATATATAGCTTGTCCAAATTTTAAACTTGAGTTGTAAGTTCGTGAGCCTAATGGTAGCGCCGTTCAACACAGAGGCTAACAGAGGTTTGTTGTTTTTCTGTGAAACCGGCGTCTGTGATCGATTAGCGCGCATGAGTAATTGTATTTATGACAAAGAGACTATCGGACTGAAGGAAGATAGAATGGTATTTGAGTACCAATTAGTATCTCAAACAATCGCTTTTGATCGGAAACTGATACAATTTCTGGCCTTCAGAATACCTCCTGTTTTCCCCCGTGCTCTAACTGCAGATTATCGATACGAATGCCTAGATTGTCTTAGCGACCCAAGATTGCACAAATTCAGAGAAATATAATGTTCCTAACAAAGCGAATGAAAGCGTACTCTTAAGGAACATTGTTGTTGTGGTTGTACTGACACTTTAAAGGTTTTGAATTGAGCTTTTCTGTGACTGCCTTATCAGACTTTGAAGATGTGAAAGTTCGTCGCAGTTATGAATACTACTTAAGCAAAAGAGAGATGAAAACTTGAAACAAACAAACAAAAAAAAAAACAAACAACTGTCAACCGGGAGCTGGCCATTTTTTTGATCCGCATCTCAAATATATGAATTTCATATAATCATACTAGTTTCCAAGACTAGCATTAGACTTAGTTTACAAAGAGTTTGAATAGCTTCGTATGGTTATGTTTGCTCGCCATGTTACGAAGAAGTCTAATGCTCTGTTGTGCTTGGGCTGAGACGAATTTGTATGGACTCTTGTTCTTGTACTAAAAAGCATTTCTATTCACTCCCATGCTTCCGTCTAAGAAATGTTTTGTGGTCTCTTGGGTAAGGTAGAAAGTACTCTGTATATTGACTAATAAAAATCAGGTTTAGCTAGCACAATCCTCGTGGAATTGCGTCCTTAGTGTCAAGTGAGGAGCGTAAATGCACCCGAACGAAATTGAACTCAACTGTCAACTAAAGGAAGTCAACCTGTCACATTTTATTGAACTTTTTAATGCTCTTATATCACAAATGCCAACAATTAGTTAACTGTATCCCCACGTGCTCTGATGGCGGTCTGAAAGATAAAAAAACGACATCAAGGTGGGTTTTAAAACTGTGTAATTAGCAACTATTTCTATGTAGTTTTATTAGTTTTAGTGAATTATAGAGTGAATGTACTGTGCAGCTTCATTGAGCTAAATAAAAATGGCCCTTAATGAATAAATTATTATCATCATCATCATCATCATCATCATCATCTAGGGAATCGATGGTAGAGGTCGTCCATGTCTTTGGTGTTTACCGTGGACATTATTCGTTATTAATCTAATAATTGTTTGAAACTGAGAGACGTGAAAAACGTGTGACCGTATTTCAGACGTCGTTCGGTTTACCTTCTAACGACTAACAATATTCTTTTAGCCAAACTTTAAAAAAGTTTAAAATTTCACAAGGAACTTGGCAATTCTGTTACTCCGTCTTGCAGTGGCGATCATACTTCCAGCAGGTATCTTTGAGAGTTTCCCCTGAATGTATCCAAGATTGAAAGTGAAGAAAAACTTAAACATGTGCAACTGAGAGCAGCACGCCTCGGGTGGTGTAGGGAAAAAAAATTCACTGGGGTTATTGCCTCTTTCTTACCTTGATATGCTACGAACAGCAGCTCTTACATATTCCTTTAAGAGGAATAGCAGTTGAACAGTAACAGTTGTCGCAGGGATGCGGACGACCAGGAATGACCAATCTCTTCTCGTTGGTGACATCAGTCCGCAGGCCCTCGTCTCGTTTTTCCTCTCCGGGGTCTGTGCAACAATTACAAATCAGCATAACTGTAAGTAAGCTGTATCCGTAATCAGCAAATAATCTAGTCCGTACATTTTGTCA